CAAGGGGGAAGGGTCAGAGCCCCAAAAGGGCATTTGGACCTGCAGCATCCACCTCCTCCTGCAGCACCCTCTGAGCAGGAATCTGTGGGATCAGGGACGGGATGCACGATGCTTTTTGCCCTTTGAAGTTGCTAGCACCTTGCAGGCTCCTGCATTCACATCCCAGCAGGAGAAGATGCAGTGCAGCACAAGCCGAGCACCAGAGCCAACCCAGGGCTGCTGTGAACCCCCAAAGCCTTCCCTGGCAGCCAAGAGACCCCCAAGCATGAGCCCCTCTCCCTCAGCTGGGCCTCACAGGAGCACTCGGAAGAGGATGAATGTTCAGTATTTGCCAGGCAATAAGCACAGAGCTGGGTGCAGTCCCCTGAGCCCGGCAGCAGCCCAGAGAGCCACCCCTGCGCTGCAGGACACAGGGGTCACCCCTTCTCCTGCCAGCCCAATCCCTTCCTAAACCTCAACTAGCAGGAACATGTTTCAGCCCCTGCAGCTCCTAACACCACCCTGAGCCCAAGCACTTGCCCAGGCATGCCTGCACAGCACACGAGATACCACAGCACAGCACCTTCACCTGAGATGTTGCATGGCTCAGGGATGGGGCCACACACCTCCACACCCCATCCAAACCATGTGGGCGCTCACCCCATCCATGAACTCCTCTCCCAGAGCAGCATTTGGCACCCAGGAGCCAGCTGACACATTTTGGGGAGGGTCACTGGGCAGCTGCAGCACGCACAGCAGCTTCAGGAGGGGGAGCCTGGGGGAGGTGACCTTGGCAGCAGGCATCACCAGGAGCCGGCTGGTTGCACACTCGCAGGCTGGATGTGCAGCATTGCACAACCACACCAGCCAGAGCCCACCCCGCCACAGCAGGCACCTTGTGACTGCTCCTCCCGGAGCTGCAGCTCTTTCCGGGGAAGGTCTTCTATTTTGGGAAGAATGTTTTCATTTGGCCTATATTAAGCACATACATTTCGCAGTCACAAGGCAGGCGCAGAGCTGTGCAGGAGCCTCCTTTCCTTCAGCGCCAGCAACTCTGCAGCTCGACAGATCCTGGATCCCAGCGGTGCCGGCACACACGCAGCCGAGCCTGTTGCTCACCAGGGCACTGCCTAATGCAGTTAGCTCCCATTTGCACCCCTCCATTCACACACTTGCTGAGAGGCTGCTGCAACCCACCAGAGAGCTGCTCAGCTCCTCTTTAAATTTCAGGCCCAAGCTCCAGCATTAAGGACCCCCACCCCACTCCTGGAGACAGGGAAAGCCACTAAGCATTGCTGCAAATGCCAACACACCACAGCAGGATGGAGGCAAAGCATTGAGAAACCCTCAGGTGTGGCCTCTGCTCAACCTACCACCCATGCTGCCCAGGGATGCTGCGTGGGCAGGGTACGGCCCAGGGACTGGGTTACAGAGGGGTCACCCAGGCACTTTCACCTTTCTTCCCTCTTTTCCCCCCTTCTCCTGGACACTGCACCACAGCACAGGCGCATCTCTGCCCTGTGCCTCATGGATGCCCTAATTGTGATTACAGGCCCTTTAGGGATGACAGCAAAAAATAAACAAACACCCATTCCCAGTCCTTGACATCTCACCAGCCGGGCTGGGTGATGCTCCTGAGAAAGCCCTGGGGCAGCAGCTTAATGAGGAGCTGGGGATGAGGAAGGAGCATCCTCTGCTCTGACTCAGGTCAGGCTGAGCCTGGCCCCACGAGTCACCCCATCAAGATGCGACAGACCGGCAGGACCCAGCCGCTTCACCGACCCACTGCCCACCCTGCTGCTGCTCCCCCCAGCCAGCCAGGCACAGGGACCTACGTGGAATTTAGGCTGGCTGAGCAGGGATGTCTATAAATAGCACCGTTTCAGATTCAGCCTGCATGTGGCTCTTCCCTTCAGTCCCCAGTTTATTTTCTCCCTCTTTCAGTGGCTCTCTGCAGCCTGAGATGAAGGGGAGCACAGGCTGGACCCTCCGTTAAGTCACACAGGCAAAACAGGGAGACAGACTAGTTAAATTAGTCCCAACTGCCCATGTTGGTGCACTTATACCAGATTAACCTTCGCATCAATAGACTACCAACTTACACTAAACTGGCTTAACCCTTCCTTAAATGGGTTTAACTGGTCTGCCACAGGGGGCTTGAACAGTTTTAACGAGCTCAGCTATGGTGCTTTCCCAGGAAGCCCTGAGCACCCATCACAGCTCCATGCAGAGGGTAGCCCCAGGCCCCCCCCCAAAGCCAGTTTGTGGGCTGGAAGAAGGCAAGGGTACTTCCCACAGGTACCCATGGTTGGAGGGAACCTCCAAGCACGGGTACGTTTTCCAGAAGGTTTTTCCATCTCCCATCTCCCCAGGCATTCACTCCCAGACCCTTGGCACCCTAGCTCTGAAGGGGACCCCAAAATGACCCCTATTTACTGCTCCACCCACACTGGCAGGGCTGACAGAGCTCCTGCCCTTACATCCCAACAAACCAACCAGCTGCAAAACAAGAGGGAAAACAGCCTGACACCCCCCAACACGCAGCAAGCCAGCCAGCACCCCCCACTTTTCCACCTACCCCTCCTTACACCACCAGTATCCCCAGTCCCACAGCAGCAGAGGAGCCGGCAGCAGAGGGGAGCCTGTGCCCGGCCAGGTCTGGCAGAGCCCCAGCCCCACAGCCGGCTCCTTGGCAGGGCTGAGCCCTGGAGCCAGCTCAGAGGCTGAGCAGGGGGCAGTTTGCAAAGGCGAGGGCTGGCACCTTCCCCCCCAAGGGTGAACCTCACATCTGGGACACGAGCTAACACTGCAGTTTGCAGAGGTCAGGGCCATTTGCAGGATGCTCTGAGTTGCACAGAGCAAGCAGCTGCAAGCCAGGCATGGCTCTGGGCAGGAAACATCTTCCTTGCTCTGTGACCCAGCAAAACAGGAGCTTTTTTAGTACCTGCCACAAAGTTAGGCATAAAATCCCCCAGCTTCCCTTTCTAGCTTAGCTCAGCTTAGGCCAGAGCAAATGGCTCTGCCCCCCATGAGAACATACCACATGTGTGAGTAAGCCCAGGGTGCCAGCCGTGCACAGCAGCAAAGGCACCCGGGGCATAACAGCATCTCAATTAAAAGGTGATGCAAGACCTGCACCAGCAAAACAAAAAAAAAAAAGCCACGGACGTGCTGAGCAGCACATTCCTGCCCGTTATCGGCTAAATCAGTACCTGCAGACAGCATTCTCCAGCAGCACTCCAGTCCCTCCAAGAAAAGCAGCCTGAGCAGAGCTGGTTCAGTCCTAGGGGCTCCTCCTGCCTCTTTTTAAGCCCGATGGACACCTGCTGCCCATCAGCCCATTAGCTCCCTCCTTTCCCATTGACTCACCAGCTGGTCCCACTGAGTCACCCCTTCGAACCACCTCTCCTTTCCGTGGCCCGTGGCCGTTTCCCCGGTCCCTTGGTTCCCATTGACTCACCGCTGCTCATCCAAAGCTCACCCTCCCCTTTCCATTCCCATCCTGGCCGCTTCTGGTCACTGTGAGTCCCCCCTGCCCTGGTACCTGCCTTCCTCCTCACCAGCACCACGCTGGCAGCATCCCTGATGAGCTGCAAGGAGCATCCCGGTGAGGGACCTGCAGCTCGTGGCTCCCAAAAGCACCCTCCAACCTGTGCAGAAGTGCCATTGCCAAGCCCCGAGGCTGCAGGGAGTGTTTGCTGTTTCAGGGGCAAAGGATTCCCCCCCATTTCTCACCCTGGCTGCCATCTTTTGCTGTTTTTTCTTCCACAGACCATGGGAGAAATAGAAAATGATTTGCAGGATTTAGCTCTAACATATTTAGATTTAGCTCTAATCAATGGCTCTAACATATTCCTTCGTATTTCCCATCCATCCCTCCATCCAGGTTCATTTTCTCCAGCTGCAATATGGGAAGCGTTTAGGAATGAGTCTGAAAGACTTTGGAAGTGTAGGGAGACGGGATTTTCGGGAGCGTGGGCCCTGGCGCGTGCCGTGCCGCCGGCGCACCCAGAGCCGGGCTGAACGGCTCCAAGTGGAAAATTCCTGTCCATTGAGCACAGATTGTGGTTCAACAGGTTTTAGTCCCAGCCCCTTTATTTGTGTCAGTGCAAAAACTCATCCCTAGGGCATTTGTATGGATCACATGGGCGAGCATATAAAAATGGGTCCTACCTGTCCAGGCCAGTTAGCACCTCAGGAAAGCAAAGGCAGCTGCTGGACTGGAGGGGAGAGCCGCGGGACTGTGCAGAGTTGGTGCACGCAGGTAACCGTGCCGGCTGCCCGGAGCAAATTTATCCCCCGTTTTTTCCCCAGGGCTTTGTCAGGGCCGGCCCCGGTAGCGGCGACGGGGTATGGCGATGCTGAGGGCTTTTCCTTTATGCCGGGGAGCTGCAGGGGGATGCAAAGGAGTGTAAGGGTTGAGGGTTTGGAAATAGGTCAGTGGGCTGCACTGGAGTGGAGGTGGTTCATGCCACAGGAGTAGCTTTAAGTGCCACCACAGGCTGTTTCCAGCCCTGTGGGCTGATGCAGACCCTCCGGAGCGGGGGATGCTCTCAGCTCCTCGTTCCCTCATTGCCCTTTCTCTCCCCTTTGAGCTGTCGAGAATCGGGCTGTCAGGCCCCGGCGGGGCTCCGCGGGGTGTGTTGGTGGCAATTGGGGTTTAACAAGTAGCCCGTGGCCAGCGCGGGCAGAGGGGAAGGTGCTCGGGCAGAGCCACGTGCGAGAAGACACCAAGTTGTGGGGGCGAAGAGACTTCCAGCGTGGGACGGATGCCACCCTGCTGTCCCACGGGAACGGGGAGGATAAAACCGGTGACTCTCCGTGGCTGCTATTTGCTGCTTCGGTAAAGGGGTGTTGATGTCTCCTGGCAGGCAGTCGGGAAGTCCATGCAGCCACCGAATGCTGCCGTCCCCTCCCTGCCCGCCTGCCTACCTGCCTTGCTCGCCGTCTCCTGCTGCCTGCGGACTGCCTGGCCGGGCGG